TTGTATGTTTGGTGAAGGGTAAATTGCAAAATATAGTTGTCAGATAATTAAATTTTTTAAATCCGAGGGAATGATGGAGACTGCCAAACGGTCATCTGGGTTGGGGCTCATTTGAATAAATATCGGAGTAACAAATGAAAGTAAAAGGGTTTAAAATGTAAATTTATTGAGTACTTAATTTGCATAGAGAGTTAGGGTTTTATTATTTAGTTGGTATTTTCGTTATGGAAACCCAATCCACTCTTTCTCCTGTCTTGCTCATGTAGTAACCTATTGTTAGGAATCTACATGTATATTTGTGTTATATGATGGGTTTTATAAGTTCTCAAAAACATGTAAAGCAAAAAAAATTAACACTTAAGTTCACATGTAACCTATAAGGATCTATGTTTTCTCTAATTGATAACAATAAACTATGAACATCAAGAACCCTAAGGGAAACCTATTATAATCGAAATATACATAGGATCAGGGTTACATACTTTTTATTTGTTGTAGTAAACAAATTGTTGGGAAGTTTAGGGTTTCTGGTGGAGATTTGGATACCAACTTGGATCGTGATGTCACTTTCCGAACTGATATTTCTACCTTATGCCCGGGTTGCAAGAAATTCAGCCTAGGATAATCCAAGTGGACACTTACGATTCTAGGCACAGAAATCGTAAGCCAATATGCTAGAGGATTCTGTGAGAATATGATGAAAAATGAGAGCTTACGATCGTATCTCTCTTTCTGAAAAGAAGACTCGTTTATATAATAAACGATATTAGGGTTTCATTAGGGTTGGGCCGCTATGGGTTCCTTTGGAAACAAGTCAGGGTAATCCAGATTTTAATGAGGATTTAGGGTTACCAAAACTAACGAGTTTCGTTAGTTTTACCATAATCACCCTAAAAAATCGGAATAACCCACTATGCACCCATATGTAAAATTTGGAGAGGGTTTGGGGCAGCGCGGGACCCCAACCAGGGGCTCTTCCCCTTGGACCCCGCTAGGGGCGCTGCCCCTAGACCCCGCCAAAGGGGCGCTGCCCCCGGACCCCCGACTAGTCATCGAACCGGCTACTAATTTGATCTTATACATGTGTGCACTCCGCACCAACCGTACACATACAACAAATTAAGAAGCCCCTTAGCTCACATGCTAATTCCAGTTACATAAAATGACATGGTGACACTAAAATCACCAACAATCCTCCCCCATTTCAGTGTAACCCTTGAATAGACATAACTTTATCATACAATCCAAACTACTACATAATGAAAATATCGAAACGATTGAATTTCCAATTAGTATCATACATTTGCAAATACTCGAGAATCAGGGTGTTCTAAGAATTGAACCCATCAACCCATTTGAATACCAGAAAGTAAAATACATACTAGTTTATTGAATTTCTAGCAAATTACAACTTGACACTATTATAAAGCAGTGTGTCCCAATCCTCTCATGATCGTAT